CATTCTAAGCCTATTTACTTCATTATTATTCACTGTGTAACCCAATTCTGCCATACCAATACGAATGTTATCTCTTGCTGGTCATCAGTGAGATTTGAACGTGAGGCAGCTCGTCGCACATTTCATTGACTTCGACGATCTAAGTCAGGTCGTCGTTTTTAAAACGATAACAATTAAAAAGTTCTCGCGCACTAACAAACTGATGTTAGATTTTATTAATCGTTTTGAAATTAATTTATTTTCTTTTTTTGATAACTGACACTTGTTACACTTTTTTTATTTCTGAAACAAAACAGACCAAAGAGAACGGACCTCACTTCATAGCTAGGAACAGACCAAAGAGAACCGACCTCATTTCACAGATAGGAACATTTTGTATTGGAAAACTAAATTGTCGTTTTAAGTATTTTCTGTTACTTATTATTTATTTAAACCTTCCCTGAACTTCCACAAATATTTCAAGATCTAAGTTAGCCAAATCGGTCCAGCCATTCTCCAGTTTTAGCGAGACAAACGAACAGCAATTGATTTTTATATAGAGAAGAAGATAATAAACACGATAAAAAACGTCTGTGTTCAAGGTTGGTTTTAACCAAATTCGGGTCACCAATAAGCCTCTTGGCACGCCTTTCCATTGAGTCCAAAGCTGCTAGGTGGCATTTTGCAGCACCCGCCCATATATGGCAGCAATACTCCATGCACGATCGGACTTGCGCTTTATATAAAGTAAGCAGCTGTACCGGCGTGAAGTATCGCCGCACCTTTGCAAGGACTCCCAGCTTAATTGCAGCTGCTTTGGCCTTGGACTCAATGAACCGCCCGAAGTTCAAATTTGAGGATATTTCAAGCCCTAACAACTGAAGGCGATCGGTTATTTCAGTGATACATTTCGGAAAGAAGGAGCCAAGGTGAGCTGGCTCTTTTTTGCAGTGGAGAGACACGCTTGTGTTTTGGATGAGTTGAACTTAACAAGATTGGCATCGCCCCATTCGGAGACAGCTTGTAGTGTGAGATTCACACGCTCTACCATAGCTTCTCTTTCGGAATGGTTGATCCGACTCTCCCGAGGACTTGGTTGGTATCTTTCAACAGCTGTGCTATATTCTGCATACCCATGGATACCGGGCATATGATCATTAATATGCAGCAGGAAGAGAGTTGCGGAGAGAACGAACCCCTGAGGAACACCGGCGTTAGTCGCCATAGGATCGGATGAGCAACCATCAACGACGTCCCGGAGAGACCGTTCACTCAGAAAGTCCTTTACAAATTCAATAAGCCGTACGCTGGAAGCTTACGCAAAAGGCTAGTGTGCCAAACTCTGTCAAAGGCCTTCGAGACATCAAGGAAACAGCAAGTGCTTCCCCACTGTTCTCGAGTGCCTCGCCCCATAAGTGTGTGGCATACGCTAGAAGGTCCCCAGCTGACTGATTTCGGTGAAACCCATATTGCCGGTCACTAAGGAGGTCATTCTGTTCTAGGTATGCCATCAAGCGGGCATTCAATATAATGTTGGAGAGTATGGAGGTAATTGAGATTGGCCGATAATTGGCAGGGTCGGTACGGCTGCCTTTTTTTGGAACAGGCTACACGTTAGCCAGCGTCCAGGATTTTGGCACTATTCCAGTCCTAAATGAGAGGCGGAACAAGTGCGTCAACACAGTAGACAACTCAGGTGCAAAAGCCTTTAGAACTATAGCTGGTATACCATCTGGTCCACTAGTTTTATTCACGTCTAGACACCGCAAGGTTTTAAGAACCTTTTATTTGTTATACGAATCTCCGATATAGAGGTCCCGCAGTGAGGTAATTTTGATGGAATGTTGTTGCCACTGTCCAGACGTGAATTGGAGGCAAAGAGAGACGCGCACAAGTCCGTTTTATCTAGCCGTATGCGCCAGTGTGCCATCCGGTTTTACCAGCGGAGACAGTGTAGGCTGACAGAAGTTTGTCTCGACTGCTTTGGCGAGAGACCAAACAGCTCTAGTGCCGGATAGTCTTGCAGAAAGTTTTGCGCCAATATGTTTAATGCGATCGAGACTAGCTTTCCGTAATGCTTTTTTGTAGGACTTGGCGGTCTGGTTGAAAGTTCTCTTCTTGGAGCTAATATCCGGAGCTTTGCAGTTTCGAGTGTCAACCCAGGATAGGTAAGCTAAATTTTTGCGCTTTTCAGCTTGGGCGCATTCAGCGTTAAACCATGGGTGAGCTTTGCTACCGGTGGGAGCGTCAGAGAAGGGGAAAAAGTACTCCAAAGGTTGACGCAACACATCCGTTATCGCAACCGCGCAGCTCGACGGATCCGCAGAAGAGAAACAAACCTCCCACCAAGGATAACATGCAAAAAAGTGTCGCATTTCATCCCAATCAGCTGACTTATACCGCCATATTCGTCGAACACCTTGAGACTCGTAATCAGGTGGAGGATATGACGATACAGATTTCACCAGACAGTGGTCAGATGTACCCAAAGGAGAAGTAACCTGTACTTCATATCTGTCTGGTTCGGTAGTCAGCAGAAGGTCCAAGCAATTTGCTGTGTGACCGTCTACATCGGGTACCCTAGCCGCCACCTTTACCATCTGAGAAAGACCTAGCATCAAAGCAAAATTCCACGCTTCTCTTCCAGCATGGTCGGTCTTTTGGTATGGGAACAGCCAGTCTTGGTGACAAGTGTTAAAGTCCCCCAGAAAGACCAACTGTGCAGTAGGATACCGATTTAGGGCTACCTCAGCAGCCTCACTAAGGTGATCAAATAATATTGTTATCTCCTGGTCACCGCTGTGCGATCGATAGAAACAGGTATAAAGGATTTTATCAATACCTGTATCTTCCATTACCCAGATTGTCGAAAAAGTGGGGTCTTCAAGGTGACAGAGACGCTGGAAGCAGATGTCATTGCGGACGTACACACATACTCCGGCACGTGGATGGAATTTGTGCTCCAGGGAGAATCTTGAATAGTCAAGGTACGCCGCAATCAATGGACATCCAATTTGCATCTCTGTCAAGAAAAGTAGGTGCGGCTTTTCAGTCTCAAGATGGTGATGGACTGCGCTGAGATTAGAGTGCAATCCTCGTATATTAGTGAGATGCACTTGTAGTGAGAGGACGTGCAACCGCTGTTTAACACTACTTTTCTTTTTAATGCACATATTAAGTGTTGAGAGTGAATAAGGATGGAGAATGGCAGTTGAGCGAGGCGTTGCATTAGCAACCAAACTATACTATCAGAGTTACTGTGCCCATGGGAGCTTGATCTGGAGACTGCGGGGACGCCCGAACCCCCCCACCCAGATCGCCATCGGGTCCTCGCCCGGTCGCTACGCGGCACGATGGGGCCACCCTGGGATTTTTCGCCAGTTGGCGGGGCATCCTTTCATGAGTAGCTAATTCACTAATTGGGCCCCCAACTACCTGCGATCGGCCAGCGGAACACCATGCTTCGAATCCCGCTACCTTCCACAACTGACGCTTCGTACCCGGTTTGCATACACAACGCTACTGTTCAGACCCATTCCCCATATGGCTTCACCAAGCATCATGCCGGACACGAGAAAGTCATTTGGCAGCAAGACCTCTCGTTTAGCACCACCCGGGGACACGTGTAGGGTGTCAGATTTCAAGTATTTCCTACGGACGCGAGCAGCATCGTCCCCCAAATTGATTAATTCTTTATCAACTTAGCTGACAAATAGTCATTATTATTATTTCAATCAAACACATTTTGGGCGAACTTTTCTGCGACTTACCTGTATGCACAGTACCAGGTGTACCCGGGTAGGCCAGGAAACAGTCATATACCTGCTTATTGAGTGGACTGATACTTTTCGACAAAGTTTCATTATGCATCAAACACTTGTATTTAAACTATGTATTTAAAATACTATGATTATTATATAATGTTTTTCAGTTATTGTAGTTATTAGTTTTTAATATAATGTTGACAATTATTGCATATACATTCTAAATTAAGACTTGCATAATGACAAAAACTTTAAAAATCGAAACAACGAAATGTAGCGCTTGGCGTTCGACATTGATATTGACACTTGCTTGACATGACAAGACAATTTGTGTACACCACAACCTAAACTCGAGGAGCTAAGCTGAAATAACTTAATAAAATTTTGATATTCCTTTATCCCTAAAATGTTACAATAATTGACATTCATGTTCATTGTCCAAAATAATGTTGGGTGGTATATTTTGACCATACCTATGTAACTAATTTTGTTCGCAAGTTTCTTTACTCACCTCGAAGAAATTACTTTTAAGGCTGGTGTTATTTTCAATAATAACTCATCCACGGACGTTTTATTAAATCTGAATCGGAATAATATATACAGAGTCAGAAAATTCTCTTCTGTAATTTATTCGAGTATAAACTCCGCGATTTTCAGTATATACAATACCTCCGAAACTAAAAACACCGATGTCATATATTTCATTATCATATCCCTGAATAAATCCCTTTTTTTAGAAATAAAATAGGTTTTATTTATTTAAAAACACTACAAATATTTGCTAACTCTCAAAAATTGGGGAAAGACAAAACTCTGACATCTGGTAATTTGAACTATCGCCAGTTAACTGCCAAAATGTTGTTGAAACAGCCCTCCGAACGGTAGATCAATGTGATTGTTAAATATTTCTATCTATCTTTGATTATTGAAACGGAAAATAGTAACTATAGATTCCAATGGTGAACATTTTTACTCCAGTAAGGGATAGAGTAGAGGTATGCTTGGAGTGAATTTCTTTTCATATGGAAAAGCAATAGAATTTGTTTTATATTCTAATTCTATATTTTTATGTAAAGAATCTAAGAAGAAGAAGAAATTATAACATAGTCTACCGTAACAAAAAAGATTTCATTTTTTGTGTGTTCATGTGTGTATTTCGTAAGACATGGCTCAATCATACACCTCTAATAGATTGTTATAATTTTTATTTTACTTTGTAACTCTTATTACTTGTTTCACATGTTCGTTATTTTCTAGGCAACATCCCTTGGTACTGAGATACAACCCGAGCAAGAAACTGTTTGTTCCACTCAACAATTAGCCAGTGAAGTAAAGGATAGAAAAGGAAAAAAAGAAATTACTTTTTATAATGCTTCATCGGACAAATCAGACACAGATAAATCAATAAAATTAAAAAATAAACGCATAAAAAGTTACAAACGTATAAAAAAACCACCCCCAGATATATGGGAAAATAATTATAATAAAAGGTTTATATGCAGATTTTGTGACAAAAGTTATAAAACTAGATCTAGTATAATACGACACATTAACACACATTCATCTTTAATATTTAAGTACCAATCATGTATAAAAAGTCATTGTTCTGTTAAGTTAAACAAAGTGGATGTTAAACCAAATATTTGTGATTCAAAACGAATTGTAGTGCATAGTTGGAACAAGTTCATAAAGTCAGAAGACCGTTATTTTTATACTTTGTTCAGACCAAAACAAGAATTCGTTAGCAACGATAGCCAAAATTTAACGTCGGAAGTCTTAAAAGGCGAAGAAAGTTTGAGTAGTGCAGAATCTAGCGACAATGAACCAGTTTTTAAAGTCAAAAAGAAAAGGCGTCGATTACTTTCAAGAAGTTCAAATGAAACTGTTGTCCTGGAAAAAAATAATGTAAAAGATTCTGCTGAGATTGATATCGAATTACCATCCAAACAAATAATTCCTGCAGTATCTAGTACTTTAGAGCAAAATGATGCTGAATGCATCAACATAGATGACTCCTCTGATACTGCGTCTTGCAAAAGTAGTAACCCTGCAAATAATGAAACAAATACAGATTTATTAATATCATTTAGGGATGGCGATTATAAAACGATACAAAATATAATTTCTGTGTGTCTTAAAAAATACTTAATAAGACTTGAGTCTTCCAAAGGACTTGAGTCTTCCGAAATACCTAGTAATATTATACAAAAACCTGCGCGTAAAATAGATCCTTCCATTAAACATAAGGTGTTAAGTATTGGAAGAAAGGTAATAAATAACTCAAGTTTTAATTGTACTGGACTATTACGGTATTTGGAACATCAAAATCTCGAAATAGTATGGATGCCAGCACTTTTGCGACATTCTAGTCATGTACGAATAATGATGAAATTGAAAAATTGTGAAGAAAACAATGCCTCAGATTTTGGGTGGGAAGGTTTAGAGAATGTACAGCTTAACGATGGCTTTAAGACAAATAGTGCTGGATCTGTTAATGATCAATTAACATCTGAAAATTTAAATCAATCAACTGATAAGGCTGCTATGAACATAAAAGCGAATGAAAGTGGATTAATTGCAGATTCACATGTAAATACTACAGAAGTATTAACAGACCAAACTAATAACACTGATCACATCACTGAAGAAAAAGATTTTTTATTGAAAAAGCTTCTAAGTGTAAATCATGTTCCCGTTCCCTCACAAATTTTGAATGCCAGTCCGGTAGCTAATCCTAAACAACTTCCAAAAAAATCAAACACAAATGAAAATCAAAATAAATTTTCAAATCAAAAGCCCCTTCTCATAACTGCCCCAGGCGACGAACCTGTCTTAGTCGATCATGCTGAAAATTCTAATGAACATTTAATTATGCCAGTAATAACATCGACAGTTTCTTTAGCTATTGGAACATCAGGTGTTACAGAGGAACAAAAAAGCAATGACGGAAATATCGCCTTGATATCATCAACTGTGTCCAATTGCCAGATGCCAGAAGATTGTAGGGATGAAAAAAATGGTGTAAGTAAGAATAAAGGTGATATTATAAATTGTGAAGATCAGCAAGACTCCATTAAGAATATACCTAGGATAAAAGTAAAACCTGTCTCCGAGTTAATGTCAGATAAAGCCCTAAACAGCATGCATAAGCAACAAGTAGAACAAAGTAGCAACATTATAAACCAAAATCAAAAAAATATGCCTCACCAAAACACGGAAAACGTAGTTTATATGACAGATATTGCAGCACCACAATTAAGTAATTCTATTAACCAAGACCTTCAACATTCAGTTCAGTATACTACTTCAGCAGCAGCCGGAGAAAGTACGTCGTCTTCAGCAGAAAGTAATAATCCAGAATATGTGTTAATGGATTCAGTTGACTTGCCTTACACTAGAACAGATTCTCCATTTCGATATTTTAAAAATTTACTACACATACATAACATTACCTTATTAGATGCTAACGAAACATTGTCGTTTGATTTCGTTTGCCTATTAAAGTTTAAATTAGTATTTCAACAGGAATCTAATGTACCAGTTGTACTTTGTTTAGCGTTGTTTAACTCGAAAAGAAATTTTTGTCTAAAAATAAAGGATGCCAACCAAAAAAACATTGACATATCGAAATTATCCGCAAATTGGCAATGGGAAATTCTAAAGGTGTATAGAGATGTGGTTAACAAGTTGTTGCAAAATGCTGAAAAAGTCAGCCAAGAAGTTCGTGATTACACACAACTATTTTTATGTCTTTTAAAATCCATTAAATTTCATAAATTAACGTGAGATAAGTTATTTTTCATGAACTATAGATGTGAAAGAAATGTTGCCTTTAAATGTTACATTACCTACATTTATTCAAAATAAATTTCTACACAACCCTCCAATAAATGAGAAATCTGTGCTCAGCAGTGGGATTAAAGGCTATAACTTTATTAATAAATTCGAAAATACGATGACTAAATATTTCATAAGAGCTTTTGGTTTTTATGTTACATATTAGCACAGTTTAAAGAGACTTACAGTTTTGAAACGCATTTGATGTCAGCCGATGCCGCCGCCTGTGTAGGTATTTACTATTTACGCCTTCGTCGCAAATATGCTACGGATTATTACGAAATTGAGAATAAAATCATTTTGAATATTATACTCATCATACTTATAAGTTAAAAACATTTATTGAAAAAGATCAATTGTTATTACTTCAAGAAAAAATACATTTATAAGTGTTGCACTGCATTTTCTTTTTATAGATGCTTTTCAGTTTACAAATGTTAAATTAATTACGTAGTGTAATCCATAGACTTAGAATATACTGGCGGTGTCGTTGCATTCCGATGAACAATTTTATCAATAATAAATGAGGGAAACGAGCTTGGCTGTCATTTGAATTCAACTTATCGCTTAGTAACTCACATATAACTATTACAGTAATTCACCATAATAGGTATAATATTTTTCGAAAACGGCACTTAAAATTACTTAAATAAGTAGGTACTATAAAACACGCTCGCGTCAACCGCATGTGTAACCGTATAGACTTAGTGGAGTGCGTTTCAGCGTTCCACCACGGTAGCTCCGCCCACTATCCCGCAAGGCCCCCGTCGTTGCTGTCAAGTAGATCCGTTTCACAACTGTTACACTCTCTTTAAACTGTGATATTAGTAAGATAATAATATTTACTGTCATAAAAACCTGTATATTATAATAAGCTGTATCTATATTGTACATATTCTCTTAATTTTACACAGCCAGTTATGATACTGTTTTAGTATTGTGATTGAATAAATTAACACTAAATAATTGTAATAAAAATATTCTTTATTGAAATATATGTTTTTTTTTTAATGGTAATAATTGAAATAATAGCTTCGGAATAAATGGCATTTTCAAAATAGTCGCTTGAGGAAATGGACAGAATTTTAAGTTAGACCAAAATAATTACAGTACTTGAGTCCTCCTCTTTTATGTAAATTTATTGATAGTTCACCGGTAGAACTATAATGTTTGTTAACAATTGGGTTTAACTGCTTTATTGCACACTTAAAACATATATATTCGAAATGGAAACGCTAAACAGGTCTCTTGTATGGTGCATTTTAAACGAATGATAAAAGATTATAAATAATATAAAAATCTGATATGCAATTAACGAATTCAAGTGATATGTGAATTTATATTAAGATAAGATCTAGAAAAAACTTTTTCGTATTTCGACTATAGTCGGTTGTCAGTTTATAATAAACTAGCTGTGCCCCGCGGTTTCACCCACGTCATCACGTGTCGGAGATGCGCGACATGACCTAGTTCAAGCATTTTATAATTGCAATTAAATATTTTATTTGATAGCAATAGATGGAAAAATTGGCATAATTAATGGAGTACATTTATCTGTCGGCATATTATGTATGATGTAGAGCGAAGTTAAGTTTTATCCAGTTTCCCTCCCCCTTCCGGTTGAGCAGTTCTCACCGGGCGGCTAGGGGTTTATGTGTCGTTCGGGCGCCCAGCCAAGTATTGAATTATTTTAATTTTACAATATCTCTTAAACTATGCGTCCAAATAACATGGTATAAAGAACAAAGTTTATCGTCATAAAATTGTCTTGATGATGAAATAACTTCCGTTCGTTAGGATAAATAGGCCATGCCTAATAATAACGCTCATAAATCACTTTTAAATTTTCAATATTTTTTTGTCATAAAATACCTAATTATGGCTTATGTATAAGAAATAGACATATGGTATCGCGGACTTTTTTTTAGACTGAGTAAAGATCTATATTTTTCTAGAACATTGTATTTACGTATCCCTAACGCTAACACCAGCGCACGCAGATAAATTATTTCGGGAGTACTTTTTCTACTGACTTGCTTCACAAATATCTATATTTAAGGCTAGCTGAGTGACATAGCTTAATTCTAGATAGCCTATACTATTTCACATGAATCAGGCTATAATATACAAAAATAATTTTTCAAATCGGACTGGTAGTTCCAGAGATTAGCGCGTTTAAACAAACAAAAAAACTCTTCCGCTTTATTATATTAGTATAGATCTATGGTTGTAATAGTGCCCTAGAAGGTTTTGTCAATAACATTTTCGTATTGTTATCGACTAACTTTGTATAGAAATATGAACAGCACCCCTGGCAGACGCAACTCGAATTGTGATTTATCACAAAAAGTAACTAATTTCCGTTGCGATAGAAAACTTCCGCTTAGGCGGCTAATTTCTGGTTATACTGTCTGTACCTGGCTGATTTTGATATAATATGTAATTAGGTTGAAAATGGAATTAAGTTCGTAAAATTAATTATATCAAAGATATTTAAAGCTTCATTTGCTAAGATCTGTAAAAAAGTAAATTAATACGTATTGCCTACCTAGTGTATAAAGGATTACCCTCGTTTTTAAAAGTTACATGCATGCATATGTTATATTATTACTGTATTACTACTTCACTTAACGCTGTGACTTTTTGGAGCAATATTTACTCGTGTTCATAGAGTTTAGGGACGGTGACACGCGTTTAATATAAGATAATGGGCTGGTACGACCGGGGAAGGCCCAAGCTCTCACAGAATATCAACGGAAAATAGCAGCTTAACGCTGCTGTGTTTCGTATGGCGAGTGTAGAGAACCGGAGGGAAACCCTTTTAACTGGAAAAAAGGCATTCCATCTTAGTCCTCACGGCTGACAACACATCTACATTTTGATTCGTAATCGAAGATAGATGTAAATGTCTATGGGCCATAGTAACCACTTACCATCAGGTGGACTGTGTGCTCGTTTGTCACCCATATCCTATAAAAAAAAACATCCACATGAAATCTCGAAAATAAAACCAAAATGCAGATGCGTTGTCACCCCTGAGAACAAAGATGAAATGCCTCGTTTCCAGTAAAAAGGGTCTCCGGCGGTTCTCTACACTCGACATACGAAACACCGCAGCATTAAGTTCAGATGCTTTTTTCGCTGGTATTCTGTTAGAGAGTGGTCTATCCCAGGTGGAGCCGACCCAATTGTGCTAAAACTATAATATAGCACCAGTGTAGCTCTACCACATATAAATCGGCATAATCAATGATAGACAAGACGAGAGTTTAAATTAGTATAAGCTTAGTTGTATATGAAAGAGTGTTTTTCAGACGGTGGAGCGATCCTAAGGTGACTTTTGCGGCTAACTCCAGTGACCTGTTTTTCCCAGTTCTAAGTTTTATTTATATATCAACCCAGTCAAAGAACCAAATAAAACTAAAACGTCATAGGTAATTAACGAATATAAAAAATGTTAATATTGTTTAAAACACACGTGTAAAACAGCTAAAATTAACGTCTATAAAATACCGGTTCGAATGAGAGTAAGCAAGAGGTTGCGTCACTCTTAGAGGACTGAGGAGCGTCATATCGATGTTGGCAAGGTGAAATTGATGGTATATCAAGAAACCCTCCACTCGTTTGTGCAGTTTACTGTAGGCCTCGTGCGCAAGAGAGTCCGTCTAAGTCATTCTACCTAGTAGTAGTACTAAGATAGTATCGTGGTTATGTTGGTTGTGGTGGTTCTTCTAGTGCAGGCAAGGAAGATTGTGTTGCTGAGAGGCTGCACTGCGTTACATTGAGATGTATAGAGCGTTACGCTGTTTTATTGCCGTATTTTTTTATTTAATATATATAAATATGTGGCCCATAGACATCTACATCTATCCTCGTTTGCGAATCAAAATGCAGATGCGTTGTCACCCGTGAGGACTAAGATGGAATGCCTCTTTTCCAGTAAAAAGGGTCTCCGGTTCTCTACACTCACCATACGAAACACAGCAGTGTTAAGCTGCTATTTGACGCTGGTATTCTTTTCTATTTTTTTATAGGATAAGGGTGACAAACGAGCACACAGTCCACCTGATGGTAAGTGGTTGCTGCGGCCCATAGACATCTACATCTATCCTCTATTACAAATCAAAATGCAGATGCGTTGTCACCCGTGAGGACTAAGATGGAATGCCTCATTTCCAGTAAAAAGGGCCTCCGGCCACCTGCACTCACCAAGCGAAACACAGAGGTAAACCTCTACATAGAGTAAAGAAGACCAGTGGGGAAGCTTTCTAACAACGTCGAAAATATATACCTATTCTGATAGGGTTATCACCTGATGCAAGTGAAAATTTGAAGGAAAAAATAAAAATATTATATTGTATAAAATAACATGTGTATTCATTGTAACTTAATATAATAACATGTCTGTTATTTGTAATTAAAATTGAAACTGCAAAAATTGTATATTTTGCTTATTTTCATGTTTAGCTTCACATTACATATACATATCTATTTTCTATCAATATCATTTTCGTAAGACAATGTACAAATGTTTTCATGAGTACAAAAAATCAGATGGCATTAGTAATGACTGTGAAGATGGTAGTGGGCAGTGGCTGTGTTGATACACCACCACCACCAATGTTACTACCAGGATGATGGTGGCGGTAGTAGTGGCTGTGGTGGTGATGCTGGTCGTGGTGGTAGTGCCAGTGGCGGTCCACTGTTCACCACCACCACCAATGATACTACCAGCTATCCAGCACCACCACAATCACCTACACCATTATCAGCACGTACGGTACCACCATACACCGCTACCAACACCGCACGGTCAGCACCACCGTCCACCGCTACCAACACCGCACGATCAGCACCACCGTCCACCATCACCATCACCAGCACTACTACCACTAACACTAACTGCACCACTGTCTGTCTATTGTATTATTTTCTTTCGAATTTTTCAT